AAAGCTATATTATTATTATAAATATTATTTTTATAGTACCAGTTTCAGTTGAAGTTTAGTTGTTAAGAAGGTAATACAATTTAATAATACAAGTTTCGATAAATTGTTTTTTTAAGAATTTTTGATGTTATCTAACAATTATGATCATAAAATAATTTCTTCAAAAAAAGTAAAGCTTTGTTTTCAAAAATATTCCCTAAGTTGTTTCAGTACTTATCAATCAAGTGATAGAAAGATTTTCAATCAAATTGTAGTATTCCTTTTGCTTTGGTTGCCTAGTTCCCTAAAAGTCAAGCCTAATGTTTTGATTTCAATAGTTTATCACATTTCTTTTTTAATAATACTATTCATCACGTATGATTCGCTTTGAAACTGCACTTACACAGGGAGAAAAACGAGGCGAATCCGAAGATTGATGATTGATGATTGATGTGCGACGAGCGAGCAATTTACAAGATCGTTTGCGCCGCGTCGGTCAAGAGTTTTGCAATCGAGCGCCACACGATACGGAATACAATCGAATAAATCAATTGAAGCGTTCGCAGCGCGCTTTTCGCTTTTCGAATTTGTCAAACGGCCAATAAAAAAGCACAAAAAAATTAAGTTATTCAAAAATTGAAATCGCTGGCCGCTGAGCGGGGAGCCGATGCCAATAAAATTTATAATAAATATGCCCCAGCCAAAAGAAATACGTCAGCCTCGAAGAGAAGGCAATGTATATGCGCAACAACAATTAGATCGTTTGTAAACAATTAAAATATTTTGCTGGACGACCAAAACAAAAAATTTCAATTAAAAAAGAGAAAGAGAAAGCTTTGTAAGAGTAATGAAAAATAGCAAAGAGCTAGTTAAGAGAGTTGCTAAATGGAAGAGGGAATAGCAACCAAGATAGTTTATTTATACATTCTTAAGTGAATTCTTTGAATTGCTTACACTGGCTGTACTATATATATATATTTAATAAAATTGGAGCAAATTAAAAGACAGCTGTGGAAAAATGTAGCACAGCAAACAGCTGACACAAAATGAGAGAAAAATAGACAAAAGAGAACGAAAAGGCAGTTGAAGACAACACGCATACGCAATGTTGTACCGCGAAAAACATTTTCCCAATTTCACCCACACAGACATTGAATTTTTAAGAAGAAAACATGTTGTTTTGAACTACTCATTTGGCTAAAATTAAAAATATTAATTACAAAGAAACGGATTATTCTTAAACGACTAAGGTTTGTCATCACTCGGAATTATTAAGTGATCTCTAAAATTTTTTAAATGGAATTCAGTTCATCAAAAGGGTAATATCAAAATTAGACATATTCAACAGCTCTTAAAATATATAAGTAAAATTAATGAATAATCCCATACTTTTTTTATGATTTTAATATGAGACTTGTTCGATATGTTTAAAACCTGTTTCTTCATTTAATTTATTACCTAGCAATGCTCGTTACATGTTTTCCCTGTCTTAAAATTCTGAAACGTGCTGTATATTTGCAAAATTCCCAGGAATCGAGTGTATGGTTTGACATTTTGATGGATTTCACTCTGACATTTCTCATGTTCGCCATGTTAAATGCGCTTTTTGCCGCCCCTCTTCATTTTTAGCATTTGTGTCGCCGGTGTTTTTAGTTTTATTCGGTTTTTCGCTTATCGCGATCAGTCGACCGTACGAATTTGTGCCAAAAAATATGCGATATATGTGGGTGCACCACCAACTGAAACCTGGGGCACCACCAGTAGTAAACCACCGAAACCGAAACCGTCGAAACCACCGACTCGATGGCGCTGGCACGCACGTTTTACGAGCCTCGCTTTTTGGCCACTTACAGCGCATAAATACAAAGTTGTTGACAAGCGCATAAAGACCTCGATGAGATCGTTAAATTGCTGAGTTTTCATAGACCCCAGAGCGACAATGAATATGGCCAACAATTAAAATTTAGTTCAATTGTTCTCATTTGTCAGAAGTCTGTCGTCGGCACATCGCTTGCAACCTGTTGCATTTGCATTTGAAAAGACCCCAATTATTTTACCTCCCCCTGGCCGATTTTTATCTATATCCCCATTCGAAACATCTGGGTATGGTTTTTCATGGGTTCTTCAGGTGCTTTCGATGGCATTTGCTTGCGAGGAATTCAAACAGATGGCATGAACGAGAAATGCAAATGAACAGGCCAATGATAAGCGGGCTAAGAATTTGGCACAGAGAAAGTCAGGTGTTCAGTTGGGGAAATAGTTGGAATTAATGGCGGATAAATGCATTGGCTTATTGACATTATTGGGATGGGTAATACACTTCCTTGTTTTATCTATTAATTAAAATTATAAGCCAGTAAATAAAATCCTATTGAATTCTTTGACTTCCTTTTCACCTTGTACAAGTTTAGATATTTTTTTAAATTGATCTAAAAGTTCCAGTTTTCAAATTATCTCTTACAGTCGAAATTCATTTTATTAAAATAAATTCCTGACGAAAAATATGTTCTGCACTTTCAAACATCAGTTATTTGCTTTATTTTCAAGTCACATAAATCGTAAAAATCTCAATTGATTTTGCATAAATTCCTTCCAAAAATAACCCAAATTTATGCACGTTTTTCACAGTATTCACACCGATATGACGGATTACCTTACGGATTGCTCTCCATAAAAAGCACACTTTATTCCCGAACGAGTCGTGTGCCAAGCCAACACCGCGATACAATAACTTATGCGATTGGTACCAAAACACAAAATGACCAAGAAATAAAAGCAGTGAAATGCAATAAAATAAATCTATGCATCAACAATTACTGGCCAGCACACAAAAACAACATTTTCCAGTGAGTGTGTGTGTTTGATGTGATGTGTGTATACATTTGTGGGGCAGTGTGTGGAATATTAATTAAAGTTGCCAGCTTTGATTTCTTCCCAACGACTGGGATTCAGACGGACAAGTGTTTTGCGTTGTAAAAACAAGCGAAAGCAAAACACCAGCAGCCTCGGGAAGAATAAGCAGACACTGAGAGAAAATATAGGGAACAACCTATTTACAAAATTAAGGCAATAGAAGATCAACTATAGACTAAAGTTACATGTATAAAATATTTTTTTTAAATCTATTTTGAAACAATAAAATGTATAATGTTATTAAAAAGTGATTAAGATAAAATAAATTGAGATTCTAAGAATAATTCTCCGTATATTTAAACAAATTTTTAATTTATAAAAATGTAGATGTTTTTCTAAGCTTGTCCTAAAAACATTCTTGACTATTTTTTCATTTCAACTGTATTTCATAGAAATAAAGATTTTGTTTCCGAAATTATGTAAAATTCTAAGTATCAAAAGGCTGATCGCAAAACTCCATATCAAAAATGAAGCTAATTTTCAAAAATGGTACATGGGTACATAATGGCTTGAAGTTTAAATTTTGTACCTTGATATGATTGATATTTACCCAAAACAATTTTACATTTTTTTTTTTTAATTTTAATGTGATTTGCAGTGCATCTCGCACAAGCGATGAAATTCAAATTCGAATTAAACGCATTCCAGAGAAGAGCAGGCATGCAAAACGCGTAGCCCCAAGATCAGCATCGCGATTAAAAGGGGCAGGAATGGAGGGATCTCGCAGATTGCATAAATGGCAACCATTTGCAACAGCATTTAGCAGGCAGCATTATGAAGCCCTCCTTTGCATTTAAGACACGCATCTTGCATATTTCGCCTTGATGTTGATCGACAGTTTGACATTTTATGTCGTCGCCGCCTGTCAAAAGAACGGCGGTTACTTTTTCTTGTGCACTTTGTGGATTTTTGCAATCCCATTTTTTGTGTCATTATCCTAATTGTTAAATAAAAAACGCGGGAAGTGTACACATTATAAGCCATATTAAAGAAATTAAATATATTAATTATTTTTAGGTTTTATTATATATTGTTCAGAAATAATAATATATTTTTAGACTTATTTATATTTTTCAAAATCTATTTATCAAAAAATCAAAATTATAATTATTTTCAATCCCTAAAAAAAGATTCCTATCCATACAAAACTCACCCAATCTGACCGCTAGGTGGCGCACCAATCTTGTTGATCCAATCTCGATTGTTTCCCTTTTCCAGAGCATAACACACAAACAGAAACACGAAAGCACACAAATGGTAAACAAATGCGGAATTCCAGTCACGAGCACTTTCCTCGACTTTTTCAGTTTTCAGTTTCAGTTTTTCCGCTGCACTCGCACCGTCCGAAATGCGGCGTATAAATATATATCCATGTGTATATGTGTATTTTCGGGGAGGCTATGGCCAACCGATCCGATCCACGAACGAAAATTAAATAGCTGCCTGCTTGCTGTTTGCTTTTCTGCCTTTTCTGCCCAGCGGACCAAAGAGAAGCCGAGCGGATCGCTTTGGATCGCAGAGCAATAAAAATAAAAGCAGAGCAATCGAAAAAGCAACAAAAACAGCATTGGGGAGGGGGTGGAAAAAGTTTGGCGCGCTTTGGCGCTCGTTTGCATATGTGTGTGTATATTAGTGCTCTTTAAATTGAAGGGTAAGAGAAAGAAACGAATAAAAGAGAATACTGACCACTCTCTTAAGGGAAAATAGTTAGGATCGGAAATTATATTATAAATTAGTAAAAAAAAGATAAAAATTATTAAAAAATATTTATATCTTTATAATTTTATAATGAATTAAGTTTTAAAAATGTGTGACGGTACAAAAATGTTTTTAAAAATATATTTTTTTTTCTTCTTACTAAGAACTATGCCTAAGAACCAACATAGCGTATGAGTAATTTCATATACCCGAAAATTAAAAACTAAAATGGTATGTTGTGCCATTCACATTAGTATGAGCGTACGCTATTTTAAATGTTAGTTCTTTCTGCAAAAAACACCTGAGCAAACCTTGATCTTGAAATTGGCTTGGCCGTAACCACATTTCTTTGACTTATATGACTATGATTTAGTCACATTTTTTCAGTCGTCTTGGAGAGAATGATCAAAATGGTTTCTTTAAAGTACATCTTTCTATTCCTGAGTCTGTACTATTTCCTGGATGATGTTGCGGCTGTGACCTGCGATGTATCCCCCACGGATGCTTCTTGCATCGACTGTCGGGTGTATCCCACCCATATAGAGTGTTTGCACAAACTTTTCGCACCAGTAACAACTGCAGCCCCGCTCACAACTTCAACCACTAGAAGATCCCGAATCGGCAGAATACGCAACTTTTTCAGTAACTTCATTACGCGTGTCAGAAGTAAAAGTTGGTTTTAAGCACTAAGCTAACAAATGTCAAGATTATAACCGAATCTAAAATAAACATTAGTTTTTGAAGAATTTTAATATAATTTTTAGGTATTAATCTTTGAAAGAGGGTTTCATATTTTAATAAGCAACAAAGATAGCTAAGAATCTGTTTTGCTAATCCAAAACAGTTGAACTAACTTTGTTCTATTGGTTCGGAATACCGAGGATTGTATTTTACTTGGGTATATAGTATCGGTTGACCAGATTATAATAGATTGATACATAAGTTTACCATCCTAGGTTTGCTAGGACTTGGTTTTGCTAATCTTACGAAAGTAGCATTACCCAATTCTCTAATTTAATATGGTTCATAAAAAATACGCCGATAAGTATGCAATGGTTTTCCCTGTATTGTTAACTAATAGCTATAGTAAACCAGATTATATTTTTAATTTTCGTCTCATTTATTTTATTGCATTATGTATTTAACCAGATTTGTTAACCTTAATTCTCCTCACAACTCTATACCGCATGTTTGAAATTGTAACTTTCTTCCTGTTAACCGATTTTTTCGTTGTGGCAGCTTTTGCTATTGAAGCTGTTGTTGTGGTTGTTGCAGTTGGAGCCACCGTGGTTGTGGTTGTTGTAGTGGTTGTGGTTGTAGTTGTTGTTGTGGTGCATTCAGCGTTGGTGGTGTCGGTGGTGCAGTCGATGCAATTGGCATCCGTGGGATCATCCGCGCAGGTGACGGCCAAAGCTCCACTCAAAAAGCAGAAAATCGCTGCGATCAGGATAAGATATTTTGGTGCCAGCATAGTGATCTATTTAATAGGTTTCCAGTTATCAAAATTTGTAATGTTAGCCTTCACCTATCGCAAGGCTTATTTATATGAATTTTTAGGCGCAACGGAAGTTCAGTTTGTTTTATCAGTTGTTTAAATTTTTAGCAAGCGCAAAAATTGGCAAAATTCTTCGATCAAATTGTTGACTAACTTTTTGTAGATTGTTTAATAACGAAGAATCATAATTGTTAATCTGAAACCAACAGATGTTGGAGTACAAAAAAGGTGGAGTCCAATAAGCAAAAGAAAAAAGCCAGTTCCAAATTATTCAAACTTATTACGCACAACCTTTTTTTGATATTTTTTTATGAAGTCAACAAACAAAATGCCATTTTTTTAAATAAAAAAACAATTACTTTTGGTAAGAAATATGCAGTTGATAATAACTTTTTGCCAACGGAAAATGAACGAAAACAAAATATAACAAATCAATGGTTTAAACAATATAAAACTAAAAAATATTTACTTATATTTATATATTTATTTACTGTGGTTTAAAACAAGGATAAAATTCTAAAAATAATCATCTTTTAATAAATAAGTATACCTTATAAATAAAGCTTATGTTTAATTTACACGTTGGAACTTAAGTATTGACACTTAATTTCAAGTAACGTCAAATAAATTAGAGAGTTAATGCAAATAACTTATACTACACATAGGTATATGTAGAAATATATGGTTTCTTGATAATCAGAAACCATACATTTTCAATTAATATTGTTTTTATTTAAAAGACTATTGGCGCCAATTTTACAACACTGATTGCCGTTAACAGGGAACTATTTCAGGCGATGTGGCAGCGCCGTCCCGCACCGAGTGGCAACCCTGGTCGGGCCAGTGCGAATAGCGCGCGAAGAAGAACAAGAAGAGGCCGACGAAATGGCAATTCCTCTTTCTCCGGTCGTTCATGGGCATTTTGCGAGAAAACTTATCGCTGCATTTAAAAACCAATTAAACGAAGAATGCGAACGGCATAAGGATTGGATTTAAGGTAAAATAACGCACCACCAACTCTCGGTGGTCCCCAGACCTATTTAACCTCAAAATGACACCGAGAACCTCGGCGAAATTTAAAATAAAATAATCCAAAGTGTCGTCTGTGCAAGAATTTCGGGCGTGTGATGTGTGATGTAATCGGCTGGCCGCAAACGCGATGGCCGTCTTTCGCAAGTTTTGATAAAATTCAATTAGCCAGCGCCTTGTTTACGTTTACGCCGAGCTTGTCGTCTGGAATATAAATAAAACGCCGACTTAACCTCATTTATGGTCCAAATTGGTGTTTATAAGTTGGAATATTTCGCATTGAAAAAAGCTTGGACATGAACAAAGCCCGCAGAATGGGCGAGTGCCGGGAGTGCGAGCGAGACAACTAGTGTGTGCAGCGGTTGGAAGTCAGTGATGTGCATTTTGCAAGCCAAAAAAAAGATAAATCAGAAGAGTTAAGCAAATAATTTATCTTTCAAGAGAAAATAATGACGATATTGATATCCAAAAACAACAAGCGAAAAAAAATATTTTTATTTTGACTTATTGATCAGCTTGCATGTTTTGGATTGTATTATTGCGAAACAAAAAAAAAAGAAATTACGTTATATATATTTTTTTTAAAGTTACATTTCCTATAACAAGCAATAATTAAAGGTAAAGAAGAAAACATAGTAGGGAATAAATATGTTAGCAAGTTTTTTTTATAAAGGTCTGTTCTAAGATTGGTAAAATTTAAAATTTAAAAAATAATAGCTAAATGTAGCCGAGAACATTTTCACCATCTCTGTTGGAATCCGCAAAAAGGCTGCCACTTCTTAAAAAATATAAACAATATCTTAATTAGCAAGTATGAGCAACAGTTATGTTTTGAAAAGCAGCTAACTTAGTGTTTTTAGTTTGTAGTTGTATCTTACCCGCCTAGCTACCTTTTTTTGTTTAGATGCACCGCTTTATTGCACTCAGACCGAACATCTGGCAACGCCGTAGTCGCTCTCTGCCTCTCCCACCGTCTTCGGTCATTCGGAGCACATGTGCCACCAATTGTTGCGCACTCCGGTTATTTTTGTGCAACCTATTTGTTTATGCGTGCCGCGGACTGAGAAAACTGCATTTTTTTGCAGGGCTAGCGAGTGATGAACAACCAGCGATATGGCGGAATCCAGTGGATACAGCACCACGTCTCCGCGGGCGACTCCTCCGAGGTGGACATCCTGGAGTCGGACGGTGGAGCGGGGGCAACGGGCGAGGATCTGGACCATATGGCAGCCGAGAATCTGATCTTTATGGCGCGCGACGGCCAGCTGAGCGAGATAATGGCGGCCAACGAGGCGGGTGGAACGGTCCTGGTCACCGCCGATGGCACCACTGTGGCCTATGCGGAATCCTTCGACGACGATGCCCAAGTGGTCACCGAGGAGGTCATCACGGACGACTGGGTGCAGCACCAGGGCGCCGAGCGGTGAGTAGAGCCTTGTTCCTCCTTCCCTGAGGTTTTCCTGATCCATTTGTTTACCCTCTCCCCATCTTGCAGTGTGGAAATCGCCGCCGAGCAGATAGCTGGGATCAGTAGCTCACAGGAACTGCTGGACATGGAGCAGGATCAGTACACCACATTGAGGCCCTATCCCTGCGACTTTTGCAGCCGTCGCTTTCGGAAGAAGGCCACATTGAACAACCACATGCTGGCCCACCAGAATGACCGACCACATCTCTGCAAGCTGTGTGGAGCGCGGTTCTCGCGCCGGGCCGAGCTCATCAGTCACTTTAAGGCCCACGCAGAGGCCCAAGATGCAGCCGATGCCGAGGCAGCGGCCGCCGCAGCCGATTCCTCTTCCGCCATCAAGTTTGAGCATCAGTCGCAGCGACAGCTAGACGATCACTATTACGAGCAGGACTGGCCACTCTACCAGCAACACCAGCAGCAGCAGGAACAGGAGCAGGCGCAACAGGAGATGCAGCAGCATCATCAGATCCTGGATGAGAACGAGGTTCAGCTGGTGGCCAGCTACCCGGCCACCGTGGTCCCACCAGCAGCTCCGTCGCGGGGCAGAATCAGTCGGCTGAAGCCAAAGGAGGAGAGCAGCCAGTTCATCGTGATTTCCGACAAGCCAGCGGTCACCGAGTTGAGGCAGTACATGGAGGCTGATGCGTCTCAGCCTGTGGTCACCACGTCGCAACCCATTGCCGTTGACCCGCCTCCTCAACCAATCTTTCCGGTGCTGGACGACAGCAAACCCTTTGTTTGCCAGCAGTGCGGATTGGCCTTTGCGCGGGAAAAGGCACTCGTCTCACACACGAAGGTAATAGAGGATAGCCGTGAATGTCCTTAAAAGAAATGCGACAGCTTTACCTGAAACTTGCTTAACCAGTTTATTGCCAAAATCATCCACTAATTATTTCCTTTGTTCTTCATTAGAACCACCGCGTGGACTCGCCCTTCGAGTGCAACCAGTGCCAGGAAATGTTCTGGGACAACAACAGCCTACAGGAACACCAGAAAACGCATCAGTTCGAGGAGAGTAACTCGGAGTACGATCCTGCCTCGGCAGAGGATAGCGCCAGCGAATCGGAAAACGAGGAACAGTTGTATGGCGAGTTCTATTGCTACGAATGCGGGATTTCTTTCCACCGGCAGGATCTGCTTCGACGCCATGCCAAGATGCACTACAAGCAAACGGATCAGGCAGCCGGCGAGAGCAATTCCGATGTCACTGCTGGCGGTGATGTGGAGATTGCCAAAGATTCTACGGGTCACTCTTGTACCACATGCGGAAAGTCCTTCCCCAGCGCTTTGGAGATGCTCGCCCATGCCGAGATCCACGCTCGGTTCCCGCCTTTCAAGTAAGTGTAGACCTAATCGTAGTATACACATTATTTTAATCTTGTTCCCCTTATCAGGTGCGTCCTATGCGGAGTCAGCTTTTACGAGGAGCAGGCAATCAAGCGGCACCTGCACACCCGCCACCCCACTGAACTGAAGGCCAACTCCTGTGTGCTGTGCGGCAAGGAGTGCCGCGATCGCAAGGCTCTGATTAAGCACGCCTGGGACCATTCGCGCGAGAAGTGCCATTCGTGCTCCAAATGCGGCAAGAACTTCCACAACAAGGCGCGCCTGAAGCGGCACATGGCCTCGCATCGCGACAAGTCGGTGGTGTGCGAGGTGTGCCAGGAGGAATTCCCCGACGGACGAACACT